CTGCATCACCAAAAAAAGTTGCGTCTTTTCCGCCGGGATTACACAATTTATTATCTTTTAAGACGTCCACCAAAATATTTCGGAAATCCGTTGAAAAGATTTTTAAATATTTTGATGCAGATTTTTTAAGCCTAATGTGTTTTGTCATCTGAGGGTATTTTTTCAAAAAACATCTTTAAGAAACTATTTTTATTCATAAAAAACTCCATTTTGTAGGTATTTTCAAATCGGTCCAGCTCGTATAAATCTTAATATTTTTTCGAAATATTTTGGAGGACGCCTTAAAATATAATAGATTCTATAATTCCAATCGAAAAAATGTACCGATTTTTTTTTTAATGGGTTGTGATGTAGTCTAGTTTATGAGAATAAGTTTTATTGGGCTAGTGTATATATAATATACTTTTTAAAATAGCTTTGATATTAAAATAAAGAATTTTTTCTTTTGTGATGAAAAACAAAGTTTCGAAAAAATTACCTTTTTCTTATGTGTTCACGGATTGTTACAGGGTTAAAAAATTCGGTTTTAATTTTAAACTTTTTGGACTACATATATGACCAAACTAAATTCAGTTTCAAAACAAACCTTCCAAGTTTAAAAAAAAGAGAGCACATATGTTGGGTTTAGAATTTAAACAATTCGGTTTAATGTTAAACCCAAACATTTTCATAATTAAGAATAAAAAAAAAAACAATCTTNGCTAACTGATAGCTTTTGGATAAATCCCGATATTGAAACCGTTTCAAGCAATGCATGTTTTAAAAATTACTTACTTCGGTATTTGGCAAAGTAGTATATGAATCGTTCTTGGGAGATCTTGGTAGGCGGTTACTGCAAATAAGCAGAAGCAGAACCCTGAGGGGTGGTCCCATACTAATTGAATTAGTTCCGATTATTGGTTTATGGATACGATTGAAGTTTATTGTTTTTTTAATTACTCTTTTATGTAAATACTTAGTCTAACTTTTCTTGCACTTTTTAAAACTTTTACCTTCACAAATTATCGCAATTCATCCATTAATTTCGGTGTCAGAGTCTACATCTAAGAGCGTGCAGTTCAAGTTCAAGCAGTATTTGCAATTTATTTGATTTGTTGCCATTTTGCACAGTGGTTCCATTGTTCCACTTCTTTACAAGTTCTTGTCCATATGTTTGAATGTATATGAACATGTGTTTGGGTAATTCCCAGTCGGTAAAATAAGAAAAACCAGGCCATCTGGTAGCACTTATTTCGATTCTTTTGAAGTGATAGGCGGCCTTACTCGCTTGCTTCTTCATTAAGCTTCGCCTAGAAGGGAAAAATTTACATGGCACAATAATGACACAGTTCAAATTTAACTTTACACCAGAAAGGCATCGGCAAATCTACTGCAACTTTTGTTTTAATATGCAGTTCTTTTGGAAGATCTGCTGATACAGCTCTTATTGAAAAAAGCCCTTCCCGATAGCGTTTATTTAAAAGCGCTTCTATATTTTCCGGCTGGGTTATGTTGAATATGTTTGCAGATTGTCAGTCTGCGTACTTAATTGAAATTTATAAGCAATTCTCTATATGCTCGCTCTCAAGCTACGATAATTTTATTTTTCAAAAAGTCTTGCATGTGTTTGCCTTGCCGGCTGATAGAATAACAAATGCATTTCTACTTTGTCATTTAGTAGTTGTAGTATTTGTTGTTATTATTTCAATTGTGACGCATCACTTGGCATTAATTGCCACTATTCGGTGAACATTGCTGCCTACCGGTGGCACAAGCAAACAACAATATACATATGCTCTGTAATAGCTTCCATGTAATCAGATACTCTTGCGTCACGCGCACTGACCCAATATACAAACCACTTTCATACAATCATATGTATGTATCTATGCACCTTCATATGTATTAAAGTGTATGCTATTGAATTTTGTTTACGTTGAATGCATCTGTGCCCGTATGATGATTGAAAAATACAATACTGTAAGTTAGAAAAGTGCATGCGCCCATTATACATAGCTTGAACAATAAAAACCTTTGTGAATGCTCTTCTTGTCATTTTTGTTAATTTACGATTTTGTAATTTTACACAGCAAAAGTCAGAATTGTTAATGTCATCAGAACAGTAGTAAAGATGTACATATTATATGTATATATTTGAAGGCCATTTGAGAGAAGGACGCGCATTCATAGATAGTCTTGGGTTCACATGGCGTATACGCAATTTTTTTTTGCACAAATGAAATGTATGCTTAATGTGACCAACTATTTCATAGCTCAAAGAAGTACAGGGCCTGAGAACGAAAAATAGAGTGAAAGTACTTAAAAAATGGTAAAAGCAGAATATACAACAACTTTGACAGTGTACCAAGTCAAAAATTCGAATTTTTTAATTAACAAGTAAAGAAGTATAAGTTGGGGCGAAGCCGAATTTTATATACCCGGTGCACGTATTAAATATAGTTTATTTCACCTTTATTTAAGCTATGTACATGAAAAGATGGGGGTTCCCCCGATTTCAAACATTTTCGATGATATGCTCAATTAGACTTAATGATATATTTAAATAAATGAACTGGGCTTGGTAGAAATTGAAAGTGCTTACCGAGCATAAGTATAAGGGTCTTTATAAGAGCAACAGAAGCCAGAGGTCTAAATTAAAATAGAGAAGAAAAAAATTAGAGAGTTGCCATCTGTTTGAAAATTACAGTTTTACTAAATTGATAAGATACATTAAATACAGCCGAAATTTTTGGGAACGTTGCCACCTGTTTGAAAATTTTTATTTATTTTAACTAATAAGATAAAATAAATATTGCAATATGGGTATCAAAATAAAGAGGTTTAGGAAAGTTTACTGCCGGGAATATTTGAGGGGGGTTGTCTCATGTTTGAAAAGTTGTATTCATTTAAATTGATAAAATAACTTAAATATTACAATTCTGGTGCTAAACTAAAGCGGGTTAAGAAACTTTACTGTCGAAAATACTTTTGAAGCGGGTTGTCACCTATTTGAAAAAATTAATTCAGTTAAATTTACAAGAAGGATTTGTGCACCTTTGAAGAAAGTACGCGATATATAGACTCGAGTTATAAGAATATAAATTAAGTTTCCATAAGAAAGCCGAGTACTATAAAAAATAAATAATGTTTCAAATTTGTTTCAAAATCTCCCTTCATAAAGCTTTTTATTATATTTTTTAAGAACAGGGCCATACGAATCTTGGGAGGGAGGAATAACCCAAAAATACTTTTTTCATGCAATTATCTATTGATATGAAATATTAATTTACCTGTCGCAGTATGTTAATTTAGTGGCCAAGGCATTCGGTGCCAAGCGTTCATTGTAGCAAGCATACTTTTAACGTGCGTTCTGTCAAACCAACGCCAATGCCAAAGCCAACGGGAAAGTTCTATGTGGGCCGGCCTTTAAACATCTTTTAATTTTTATTTATTGAATAGTCACTTATAATGAAATTTGTCAGCTACAGATGTAGTACCCTTTTTAAATGAGATGACTAACCTTTTCGAATTATTCAAATCAGTTAACGAAAACTCAACTTAAAATGTAGGACAAAATATTGCAAAGAAGTACATTTGACCGTACTTCGAAGTACGAAGTACAACGGCTCAAAAAGAAGTACTGTACTGCCGAAAGAAGTACGGTTGGTCACATTATGTACGCTTTTTCTTTCGAATTATTCAAATCAGTTAACGAAAACTCAACTTAAAATGTAGGACAAAATATTGCAAAGAAGTACATTTGACCGTACTTCGAAGTACGAAGTACAACGGCTCAAAAAGAAGTACTGTACTGCCGAAAGAAGTACGGTTGGTCACATTATGTACGCTTTTTCTTTCGAATTATTCAAATCAGTTAACGAAAACTCAACTTAAAATGTAGGACAAAATATTGCAAAGAAGTACATTTGACCGTACTTCGAAGTACGAAGTACAACGGCTCAAAAAGAAGTACTGTACTGCCGAAAGAAGTACGGTTGGTCACATTATGTACGCTTTTTCTTTGTTTTGTCTAAATATGTATGTATGTACATACCAGGGGCGTTACGAATGTAATATGTATATGTAATTTTGGGAATGCGAAAGTGCCAATGCGAATTGCGAATATTTAGGAAATAGCATTAAAAAAGCTATAACCTAGCCCATTCAATTTTAGTATAACAAAGTGCAAGTTTGAAGTTGCTAGAAAATCGGGTTGATTTTTGAGAATTTTTTTACGCAAGCTCTTGCATACAAAATATGTTCGACAATTAGTCGAAAATGAGCAACACCTTCCACAAAAAAAAAATTGCCAAAAATTAACGCGATTTTCTAAAAATTGAATGGGCTATATAACTGCATACTTGGAATTTTTCTTAAAAGTCTGATTAGAAGTGTCAGATCTGTTTGTATACGAGCGTATAAACAAGAACCAATTCGAAAAATTTTTGGGGGGACCGATAATAGGCGAGTCCGCGCGTTCCTCCCTCCTAACCTGCGTCCACCTCAAGAAACAAATGAAGCTTATCAGACCTGTAAACCCACCTCTGACAACTGTCCCGCCCGTAGCTGTCGCGAGTGGGACATGCTTCACTGTTGAATTATTCTTAACTAACTATGTGGAAACGAAAATGCAATTGTGGTAAATAAATAAATAATTTGCTTAGAACTTGATTTCCAAACGTAAAAACAAAGTATTAAAAATTAATTTAAAGCTTTAATTTGCTATGTTTTGCTTGATTCACGATGTTTACAAATGTCTTATGCACACGTTTGTTAGTTTTATATAAAAAATAATAATTTTTGCACTAAGGTTCGTTTTCTCATGGAACCTCCCATAAGTAAACTCAAAGGTTACTTCACTACAAGAGCCTTTCCCACATTTTCTTAACAGTCTGATAATATTATTTCGCAATTTTAAACGATTTCAAGTTCCCTCATTAGACTAGTCACTGGTTCCCGGTGCGATACTAACCATTTGCAAAACCTCCTAACATTCATTATATTTTATCTACTCTTTCCAGATGATGCTCCACGCTTGGGAAAATTACAAACTCTACGCTTGGGGTAAAAACGAATTGCGACCGCTGAGTCAACGCCCGCATTCGGGCAGTATTTTTGGTGCCTACGATCTTGGCGCAACTATAGTCGATGGCCTGGATACACTCTATTTGATGGGATTGGAGAAGGAGTATCAAGAAGGGCGCGATTGGATCGAACGTAAATTTTCGCTTGACAACATTAGCGCCGACTTATCAGTATTTGAAACGAATATACGCTTTGTGGGTGGCATGTTGACACTGTACGCCTTCACTGGTGATAATCTGTACAAAGAGAAAGCACAACACATTGCTGACAAGCTATTGCCCGCCTTCCAGACGCCCACCGGTATACCATATGCATTGGTAAATACACGAACCGGTGCTAGTAGGAATTATGGCTGGGCTTCAGGTGGCAGTTCGATTTTATCCGAAGTTGGCACATTACATTGCGAATTTGTATACCTTAGTGATATAACTGGTAATCCATTGTATAGAGAACGTGTACAAACTATACGACAAGTTTTGAAGGAGATCGAGAAGCCAAAGGGTCTCTATCCGAATTTTATCAATCCCAAGACGGGCAAGTGGGGACAAAGTGAGTAGTGGTTGTTGGTGTGCGAAAATATTTAGTGGTTCTTTATATCTACATACTACATATAATTATTTTTTTTTTTTGCAGTGCACATGTCGCTGGGCGCTTTGGGCGACAGTTTCTTCGAGTATCTGTTGAAGGCGTGGCTGCAGTCGGGTCAGGTAGATGAGGAGGCGCGTGAAATGTTCGATGACGCAATGGTATCGATTAATGAGCATATGATCCGCACCAGTTCGGGTGGTCTGACGTATGTGTCTGATTTGAAATTCGATCGTTTGGAACATAAAATGGATCACTTGGCGTGCTTTGCAGGTGAGTGTAATTTGAAAAAGTATGGGTACCTCATTTTAATTTGATTTGACTCCTCCGCTCAAAGTTTTACGGGTACTGAAAATTAATGAATATTTGAAAATTCAAAATGTTATATTTTGGACTTCTTTGTTCCACCTCCACCCGGATAAGTCCACTGCTTTGACTGTTTCTTGGTGTATGGTGAATTATAATGAATCCATTTTTTAACTACGTTTATGAAACGGCGTAAAAACTCGTCCGGATTGCGGTTGAACATCGCCCAACTCACCTATTAAGTGGTCACACGGCGCGCACAGCTTTTTCATTTCCTGAATATTTGGGCATATTTGGTAAAATATGTAGTATATATTCAGTTGAGAGATGTGCCCCGAACGTCCTGTTTCATTCCATGATTTTTTTTCGACTATTTGGCGTAACCACATATTTTCGGCGACCACCTGAACGTTCTTGTGCTGATTCGACCACAATGGAAAATGTATGATGTAGAGTCAACATAATATTTCTGAAGCCTTTTTGGTTTCGGTGCTGGTTCTTTACGCAAAAAAATAATAACACCCTAGGACACCAAAATTACAAAAAAAAAAAAACGCCGAGACACATACGCCATGTACGATGTGGCGTATGAGTAACATTATTTCTATACCTGGAGTGGAAGATCGAACTTTTCAAGAACGCACTACTTCAGAATTCGATTCAAAAACGACCTATCTCAAATAAAAAATACATTGAAAATGAGCTGAGATAGAGCGTTTTTGAATCGGCAGCCGAGATGTAGTGTTTTTGAACCGAATCCTGAAATACCAAATTCTGAACCGGGCGTAAAGGGTGGAAAGTTTTCTGTGATAGGGCGTTTTCGAACTGTCTGCCGAGATAGGTCCATCGTCCACTCAGGTATCGATTTCTGGCCCTATATCATACAAATTTTATTGCACATTTAATTATTCAAAACTTCTTTGTTTATCTTTCGATTTTCATCGCTAGTAGCATAATTTTTCGGCAAAAGAAAAAGTTTTAACACAAATTAAAAAAAAAAAAATCATAAATATTAAAACATTGTGGGAAAATTACCTGATCTGAAAAAACGGGAAAAATATCCATAATCTCAAAATTAAGTTCACGTGTTTCATCGTGTTTTTGTGTGATTTCAAAACTTTAGACACACAAACTAAGACGTACCTTTCTCAAAATTTGATAGTGCTATATTAGAATGGGTAACTGGTAGAAGGAGTGTTGCATTTAAAGTTACTTCACGGAAATTAAAAAAAAAGAATATATAAAAAAAATGTTCGATTCATGATTTTCTTGTCATTAGTAGATATATATATTTTTAGACAAATATTTTCCAAATCAAATTTTTTATTTCCTTTCCGATTGATTTGAACGATTATTTTTGACAATTTTTTTTTTTGTCAAATCGATTATCTGCTCAGTTCGAATCGGCGCAAAGAATGGAAATCCTATTTTATTTTCAGTGTGGCACATTTGCATATCTCCTACATAAGAATTGATAACAAAAAGCTCAATGGAGAAGCTTGTCTTAAGCTCATTTAAGTTCATTTTAACTTCGAAATTATTTATGATAGAAATACCTTATTTTGACCAGTTTTGGGTATACTCCGTTTGTAACTGCATATAAATGCGCATTTCAAACTATGTACACAAATTATAAAAATTAAAAAAAAAAAAAATTCGAAAATTTCCCATTTTTCTGAGAATTTCTAGAAAAAATTTGAGTATTTTAGTACAGTAAAGTGCAAGTTTCAAGTAGCTAAAAAATAGCGTTGATTTGTGATAATTTTTTTTAGGTAACGGTGTTGCGCATTTCCTTTTATTGAGCGACTGTAAAAAAAAGGAAGAATGTTATTAATTGATCAGAATATTATTATTTTTTTTTTGTATATTACCGAATAACTTGGGATCACGTGAACCGTTTTCGAATATTTTTTCATCGGAAAGGTGGTGGACCACCCTTGAGTCCATACCAATTTGGTTTAGTTTTGGTTTCATCGGATCATGAAGAAATTCACGGCACTCCTAAACTTTTATATAAGTATTGAAGTTAAAAATTAGGCATTTCTATTATTTCCGCCTCCACTGTATACATTTAGCTCCGTATGTATGTAAAAATCCGCTTTCTTATGTATTTCTAAACATATCTCTCCTATTATTTGCGCTCCCCCTCCAGGTGGTCTCTTCGCCTTAGCAGCCAATACGCGACAAAACCAATATGCTAATAAATTTATGGAAATCGGCAAGGGTCTGACAAATACCTGTCATGAGAGCTACGCAAGAACCGCCACTAAATTAGGACCTGAAGCCTTTCGGTAAGTGAGAATTACCTTAATAAAAAAAATTTAAAATTTTTTTTCTAATTTCAAATATCTATTGTTTTTACTGCAGCTTCAGCGACGCAGCCGAAGCGCGTGCCTTGAAATCACAAGAGAAATACTACATACTGCGACCGGAAACAATCGAGAGCTACTTTGTGCTATGGCGTTTGACGCACGATCAGAAATATCGTGATTGGGGCTGGGAGGCTGTGCAAGCGTTAGAGGCCCACTGTCGCACACCACATGGCTATTGCGGCATTAAAAACGTATATCAGGAGATGCCGCAGAAGGATGATGTGCAGCAGAGTTTCTTCTTGGCGGAGACGTTAAAGGTGAGTCATCAACGACGCGCTGTAAATTTTTCTGACTTAATGCTTTGTTTTTTTTTTTCTTTTTTCTTCCTTTTAACTAGTACTTGTACTTGCTCTTTTCCGACGACTCTTTGCTGCCACTCGATGAGTGGATATTCAACACGGAGGCGCATCCTTTGCCCGTACGTAGCGCGAATGTGTTCTACCGCGCGGCGCCACCCGCTCAGACGCAAGCAGACGAAAATCGTTAAAATTTTGTGCTAAAATAAGGACGCTGCTGCGCACGTTTTAGCTGTGGCAAATTCAATCCAAATGAAAACCTCTGCAATTAGTTTTTTTTTTTTAAGAATACATAGACACTTTTTTTTTTTTGTTTTAGGAACATTTGATTTGTAGCATATATGATTTATACAAAAGTTAACCGGACGTTACATACTGTAGAAGATATAGTTTGCTCAGCGATTTATTTATTATTATTATTTTATTTTTTTTTTAATAAGAAGGTAATCGAATACTTACACGATGTATATATATATATGTTCGTTATATGTATATGTACATATGTACAAATGTATGTATATTACACTTGTATACTGTTGTCCATTTTCATTTTTTGTTAATTGCATGTATATTGTATAGTTTTAAATTTTAATAGGCCTTATCTTGTAGTAGCACGCAAATATTAGTAACAAATTTTTTACGTCACATAATATATATTTTTTTCAAAATTTATAATTTTCGATTACTTTTTTTTTAAATTTCGATGAGGAAAGACTTTAAAAATCAGCAAAACCAAAAACACATTAAACAAACTAAAAACTATTAGCGTTTTTCTTAAACATATTGCCAAGTATGTACATACGTATGTTCCATCTGCATAATTATGTATGTAGGGAGAAGTATTTAAACTGTACACGTATTTAACGTATTTTGAAATTGCCAATGTAGAAACTATTTATTACCCAAAATTCTTAAAAGTAGAAATACAAAGCCTGCGGTTTTGATGACACCACCGGAAATGGAAATATTCAGTATGCGCAACCACTATGGGATGTTACTTTTCGGTATATTTGGCAGGTTAGACATTTCCATCTTCTATGATTTAGAAATAAAAGACACAGATGATGCTTTGTATTTTGACTTTTAGGAAAGGAATTCAGGGTTACATTGATGAAATGAGAAATACACAGCTATCGTCATTTCCGAGTTAAATTTTTGTATTTTTTATAGAAGCAGCGAAGGCGAAAATCTTTCGAAATGTTGATATGGCCATGCTAATTAGTCTTGCATTATCTTTTTAAAATTGTGTTGCGAAGCGATATATCTTCTTATCTTGGATCAAACTAACGGAATATTCAAATTGACGCGGTCATGACTATATGTATTTACTTACTAACAAGCTATAAAAGAACAACTACTTGAGTTATGAAGATATGCCAAATTTTTTTAATTGCCGACACAAACACAAAAAGGCGTATTAAAGTGGCTTTACTACCTTTCTTTCTTCTATCCTAATTCGGATGACATTCTTGTGTGAAACTAGCACATGCTGCCGTCTAATTTTGAAATTTTGTATACATATTTCCTTTTACAATTTGCACTAGGATTCTGTATCTATTTCAGCACTAAAAAGATTGGCATATTTTCCAAATATTTAAAAACTCAAACAGTTATGGGTCCGATTTTTGGAATTTTCCTCCACTACTGTTGAAAAATTATTGGCTTTGGGTCGAATCTCAGGTGTTAATAATTTTTGATAGCTTGACAATATCAGGTACGAGTTCTGAAATGCAAAAAGTGCAAAAGTGTCCATTATAGATGTCTTCTTTGCAGCTGCAAAATTTCAGCGCTGCAGTGTATACAACAGAAAAAATTTATTTTTTATGAGCATACTTAGCTGCTTAACGGCTGTAATTGGGCGGCAGTTTATTGCTAAAAAAAAAAATCAGACAAATCAACGATCACTATTATCATTTCATTGTTCATTAAAGGTTCAGTTTGAATTGGAAAATTGGAAGTGAAGATTGTGACTTAGCCTAATATGCAACAATGCTTAAAATTTCTAGTGCAATTTCAGTTTAGCTACTCAAATTTAAGTACTCTCACACTCAACCGGTGTAGTCCTATTCGAATTTAAAAGAAAGGCGCTGTTTTTTTTTTTTTTGAATATATCCTTTGAAAAGTACCTAATTGTTGAAGCAAATACAACCATTATTATTTTTCATAGACAAGTAATTTATTTGGCATATGTAGCAAAAAAAAAAAAAAAAAACAAGTAGACTGTCATGCTGATTTTTTATTTAAATGAACAATTTCAAATGCATGTAATAACGCCCAGCCTAAATGTAAAATTAACTCCGCTCCAGGATTTACAGAATTCTGTAAAACTTTTCTGCTCATCGGAGTCAAGTTTATCGTGAGGCATAGAACGATATGGAAAATAGTTTTTGATATTTTAAGAACCTAAAAGCTAAAAGTTCTACACTGCCTTGTAAAGGTTAAATATTTAAATATATGATTTGTAATGTTAAGTACCGTGAATCGAGCAAATAATTGTTTGTGTTTTATCTTTCTTTCTCAAACAAATTTTAAATTCAATAACCGTATTAAATATTATTTTTCGTGCCTTCCAACATTTCTCATATCACATACATATGTACACACGTGGTCTCCTGCAAGCTAAATATTATACACATTTCATAAGAGAAAGAAATAAGCAAATTTACTTAATTTACATACATATATAATTTGTATATTAATGAGTGTATAGTAAAATAAATAAATGAAATCAAAGAAAAACACCCCTAATGTGACAAAAAGAAGAACTAAAATGAAGAGCAAAAAATATTAAAAAAAAAGAAACGATAATCATCCCGAAAATGCAATACATTTCAAAACAATACCAAACGCATTTGTCTTTTGTATGTATAATAGTCAGGAAACCAAGAAAATAAATATTTATGCATGTAACAGTACTTGCACACATGTATTATATATGTATGTATATGAATGTATGTAAACTCAATGCGTACGTTTAGTTCTGCAACTTGCAACTCATAAACTAAAATAAGAAGAAAAAAAACAACAAAGTGAAAATTGTTAAAAAAAGAACGTAACTGAAATGTAAATAAATAAACTGCATAGTAATCTAATGATTTTATATCATAAATATAGTTAATTACCGTTAGATTAATAATAAATAATACACTTAGGCCATAAATTTAACTTTAATGCAATTACTTTATTATGAAAAACATAATAACAAAATAAAATAACAAGTTTTAAGCTGATAAGCAAAATCTTTAATAACAAATTTAACTCAAATATTACTTATAATAGATTACCATAAACTGTTGTAGATAATTTTTAGTGCTGTATATGCAAAATGTAAATTGCATTAAAAAAAAAAAAAAATTGTCAGTAGAAAAGAATCTCCAAAAATAGCAGAAAATACACATGTACATCTGTATGTAATAAAACAGGTAAAAAAAGGAAAGAGTGTGACTTAAAAGAAAATTTGTCGTAAATGAAAATGATAGCATGAAATAAATGTTATTAAACAAAAAAACAAAAAAAAAGTAAAGGAATGCAATGGTGCAAAAGACTGCTGCCAAGCAGTTGAATCGTGGCAAGTGATGAGACTTATATAACCGTACAGATATTCAAATGCGCACTTGCTCTTTTGTACTGTCTGTCTGAAAAAAACTAATAAATTTTCCAAGTTTAAATTTTAAATTCAAATAGTGAAACTCTATTACAAAAGTCTACACATTTTTAATGCAAATTAGCTGCAAATCTATTGTACGTAGTCGTTTTTTTAATACTTGATAACTTTTTATTTATTTCTTTTACCCTCTAAATTTTAGTTTATTTTCAATGTTAAATATGTACATACAAAAAAAGATATTACAACAAACGGTTTTAGGACTTTTACGAAAGAATCGAATTTTTAGAAATTGCACGAAATGTTGAGTGCGTCTGGCGGGTATGGAAAATTACATGGCTTAGTAGCGCGAGTGACGAAAATGAAACATCTAATTTTTTATTTGTACGTGAAGTGTGTTGTAAACCGATTTTGCATACGTACATATGTATTGTTTAATATTCTTTATATTTATTCGCGCTGTTGCTTTTAACAGCCTAAAGGAATCTATATAGATATATGCGTATACACGAAAATGCTCAGAATGAATAGAGAGTCGATTAAGTCATATCTGTCTCTAGCAAAAATTGAGAGATCTCAACAAAATTTGGTATCATAGGTAGGTTTGTGTTGAAAATTGGCGAAATCTAATGGTAACCACGCCCATTTCGTATATAACGATATTTTGGAGAAATGCAAAACCTATATTTCCATAAATTCTGGATCCGAATTGTTAAAAATTTGTATATGAAATAGAATTTTTGGCATAGTATAAATCAATTACATGCAATTTTTTTTTTTTTTTGTTTAAATGGACGCGACACCGCCTATTTAGGATAAAATGCTATATCTCACAAAAAATCAGTTAAAAATCTTTGAAATCGGGTAAAACCACGCCCACCGTAATTTACAGAAACACGAGAACTGCGATAAATCGGTAATTACTGAAGCTAATTTACTCAAAATCGATGTTGCGACAATCTTATCAAAAATGTGATTATAATTTTTTTGAAAAATGGGCATTATGGGCCCAATTATGCCACAAATGTGGATATCGGCAACCGATTTATTAAGTTCTAAACCCGGTACCCCTATTGGTGCACTTTGGTACAGAAGAGCAATGTGCTGCAAATTTTTAAAATGGGACTAAAATTACGCCCAGTTCCCATATAACGGCAAATTTCAGAAATACGAAACTGATATTTAAAGGTAGTTTAGAGAAAGGCGTAACAACGGTCGGGTATATAAAGTTAGATTTTCCCCGTGCTTATACTTTTTTAATTGTTTTGTTTTGTTTTTTTTTTTATTAATTTCGGAGAGATGGCCAAATTATCTCCCGTAGTGATAGCATGAATTGGCTCCCAAGATCGTGCGATTTGACCCCGTTAGACCTGTTCTTATAGAGTTTTCTTAAGTCACAGGTCTATGCCAATGAGTGGCAATGGACCTACGCCATGAAACCCCACATAACCCAGGCAGAGTGATTGAGAATAGGGCATAATAGCATTCGTCGACTTTTCAAAAAAAATAAATAAATAAAAAAAAATCGTTGATACCTCACACAGCTTGTTTCTATTCTATTTCAATATCGACCCGCCCTTATTGGACAACCCTTTATAATTACCGTCACTCGCGTCACTTTCTTCATGGTATTAAAAACAAAAGAAAAATTAAAAATAAACACTACTCAACATTTTTAACTCGAATACATACATACACCATGAAACTTCCCTGCAAGAAATTATTCATGTAATTACATAGATTTTTATGAATGTCACTGGTTTCAGTTATAAATACCTTTTCACCTGCAAACAACTGGCGAATTTAATGTTGCGTTCTTATTGGCGATGACAAATCGCCCTCTCTCTATATACAATATTGGACTGTTTCGAAAGCAGTCAATTAGAACTATTCTGTGCCAATTTATACTATAGCAAATAGCAAGAAGGTATTTTATTTAGTACAATAAAGTAGCTTTATTTTAAACACGCCGCTGCTGCGTTGCCTTAAACCAGTTTGATTTTGATCCCAAAGGACTGACACGTCTAAATTAAATCGAAACTGTGTTCTCTAGGCAATCTTGAGCATTTAGAACCAGTTGCTGACTTCCTGCAGGGATGTGATTTTGGTAAACTCAAATGCATACACTTACACTCACGCATACATACATAAATACAAAAATACACTCGCAAGAATGTATGTAGGTTCCCGTTTCGATATTAAATAATAAAGATAATTATGAGATATTAAGTTAACTAAACTCGTTTTAGCCCAATTGAAATTGTGAAGAAGAATACAGCGGATAATGTAGTGTTTTTTGCATTGATTTAAAGAGAAAACAAACGGATATGTAATTGACATAAAATTTATTGTATAGAAACTTTGCAAAATGTATGTATGGTAGTCTTAGCCCAAACAAAAAATAATTACATATTTAAATATTATTAATTAATTAATTAATTAATATGAATATAATTAATGATATATAATAGTTTATATAGTAATTGTAGTTTTGTTTAAATGAATTATAATTAATTAAATAATTCGTCACATTGGAATATACATGCATACATATATTTACAAATAAAATAAACGAATGAGAAATTGTAATAAAACTTAAAAAAAAAAAAAAATAAACCGAAATTGGTGTTGTTTTATTTAATTTAATTTTTTTAATTTTGTTGAAAAATAATTCAGATAGGCAATATGAAAAATATTTTATTTATTGATACAAACACAAAAATTTACATGTATTTTGTTTTTGCTTTTGCTGCGTGAACTGTCAAAATCTGTAATAGTGTGTATGTGTGAAGTGCAAACAAAATATTTCAATTTGACATTCTAAGCCGTTAGGCGAAACACTCCGCTGTCAAAATAGGTAAGTACCTTACGAGGTAATCCATGTTTTCTTTCAACTTTTTGTACCAATGTCATCTACTAGTAGAACACAAAAAGAACACCTCCGACCGCCGAACTACTCCGAGTGACTGCGCTACATTTTACATACCTTACTTTGTAAAGCAGCTGAGAAGTATGCCTGATACCAAATGTACATACATTCCAAATTCACCAAGCCTTTGCGTAGGTAAGGGAGATTCGGCAGGGAAGTGGCAAGGACCGCCAGGTGAAGTGCAATGCCTTACCAGGAATTAAAAATTTTAAAATAAATCTGCTAAAAACATCTGCTACCAATGCTGAAGTGTCCGCAGGAGATACAAAAACCAGGATAAACATCTCAAATCCAAAGAAACTCATCATAAAATGCATTTACACATATTCAGCTCTATGCAACTCGAATTTTTCGCAAATGAGGAAAACACTTTTTAATGCAATCAAATCGTAATGTCCTTTCGACGAACCAAAACACCGCTTTAAATGTCATTCAGTAGTGAAAATGCAGAGACGACATTTCCATCGTGTCATATGAATAGTTCGGAGTATCTACAAGTTTTGGGAAAATCAGCTGCTACTTTACATCCGCAATTAAATATCTTCAACAAAGCTTCATACTTCAGTACCTTAAGGCGAAAATAGGTACGAGTAGGTTCACAAAATAATTGTTAAATTGAAAGAACATTACGTTCCCCGATTGGGTTGCTTGCGCACCTGATGTTAGTCCCATCGAGGATGTCTGGGAATGGATGGTCCAACAATTTTACAAAAATCCCAAATCCCAATAAATTACTGAAAAATAATTGAATATTTTTTATTTAACTTTCCGATCTTGCCTAAAATACAATTTCCTGCTGCTTTTCGTTATTTTTTTCTGGCTTATAAAATATACGGTTAAATAAAAAAATTTATTTCGCAATACAGGTAATTTTTATGCTAAAACCACAACCAGTGATGGACAATTAGTGTGCATTGTGTCATAATAATAATGGTTATTTTCAAAGTTTTTAAAATTTCCAAATTCGTAATGAAAGAGCATGAAAACTACTACTGAGATCAAAAAACAGAATGTGTATATGAATTATATATGGCGCCACATAACCCAAAATACTGAGTGTTCTTATTTTCAGGAAAATAAAATTCTTACGACTTTCGAGGCATTTTACCGGACATTAAACCTATTGGAAAATATGCTCGGTTTTATCTAGTAACCACAAACAAATTTTCTTAAAAAAAAAAATAAAAATGATGTTTTTGAAGAGATTGAGTCATTTGATTTTTCCAAAAACGGCCGCCATTTTGTTATTTTTCAAAATTTTTTAAAATTTCAAGTATGCAAATATAGAGTATCAAAAGCACTTCTACAATCAGAACCCGAATTGAAAAATATAGATTTAAAACAAAAGAACTAGAAAGATGTGAAGTATAATTGTCAGCCGTTTTTCTCTAAAACCACAATTTGCCCTAAAATTTTCAGATGCTCGTAACTCTGCGATTTTTTTTGCAAAACAAAAAAATACATGTCTATTTACTTGTCCTAAAAAACACGAAAAGTCGTATTAAACTTGATTTCGAATTTTGAACCCATTCACCCTGCATGAATTGAAATAGAATCAACCCGGTAGCATACATACAAAAAAAAAATTATCCGATGAATTGATAAAATAAAAGGCCTACATAATTATTTTCTAAAAAAATCCTTAAATATTGCAGAGGTAAAAAATTGAGTTTACCTGTAAAAAATTAAGTGTATTACTCCGTCCGACCACATCGATATACATACACATACATATATACATACAGCTTTAACACCTGTCGATTAGACGCTTTTGCACGGCAGAAATACACTTGGGGGGTTTGACATTTCCTGCCAAGTTCCCCGGTGTCTCCTACCAATCACTGCATTTCACTGCCTTACCTACGATGTCGACTGGCGCTTTTTTAAGCACGAAATTAATAGCCAGAATTAGAGTGGTCCTAAGCGTCCCATTGCTATATCCAATGAAGACCAATATCAGCCATATTCCTATTTACCAAAATCAATAAGGGGGCCACTCAGCCTTTCTGCATATCTGGCTCTGAAAACTAATGACCTTCACATGCGAATATGACAGTTGAAGAGATCTTAGTTCTTATTCCATTCATTTTTCTTCTCTCGTTTTTTATATTGTAGGATGCACACAGATGCAGCAATATTAAATGGTGTAATGGAGGACGAAGTGAGTGCTCCAGAAGCCTCTCGTTTCAATGCTCTATCGCCAACAGCAACCCGAGTGTGTTTGTTATTTTTGTCGCTTGAAAGAAGCGTCTGCTTACCTCTACGATTTGCCTGCGTGTCACTTGCGCGAGCACCGCAGATATATAACCAGCAAAGGATACCCTCAGAGCGCAGTAAAAATTATACCTTTGAATAGAATACTAGAAAGCAAATAAAAGAGCAAAGAGTTACAATTTAAAAAACAAGTGAAATTTTCAAAAAGTACTAATTAAGAACTGAAGCAATTCAAACAAGGGTCGTGAAAAATTTAAGAGACATTTTAAGCAAAGCAAAAAAGCTGAAAATCAGTGAACCTGCAAAATGCCTTACCAAATTCCAAACAAATCAACAGAAGAGATTCCATGTGCCCATTTCCATTCATCCACATATAACAGCCGATGCCATTGCCGGTGCTATCCATCATCACAAAAACCGTGCCGTCACCCCTATTGCACTGTCTGTAGACCCATGCAAAAGAGGTGCGAGTTGTGTGGCGAAATAACAACAAGTGCAGACATAAAAGAAAATAGTTATGTTGCAAAAGAAGCTCATTGGTTGTAATTGGAAAGGAGAGGAGCCAACACTTGCCCGAAATGAACAGCGCATAAGTACGGTCCCAAGAAGCGGCAGACAAGCACAAAGAACTCAGAGAAAATTAGTTTTACGCAAAAGCGGCTGAATTAGAATTTACAAACAATTCTACATTTATTTAGATGTAATTTACAAATATTATAAGTATTAAAGTGCTTAAATCGATATAAACAATAAAAATATAATTATAATTTTTGTACATACTTTCAATCTGACCATTCAACATATTTATATGATTATGAAACTACAACTTTAGGGGTATTTACTCTCTTCAATTGCGCAACGTCTCGAAAATATCATAACTCTCGAAACATTAAATTAACTGTAAAAATTTATATAAAAAATTTTTTCGAGTTTATAAATGGCAGTTTAAGAGAATTTCCCAAATACTTATAAAATGCGATTTAGGGCCGTTTTTTCAAGTGGTTTTTAAGATTTAATTGCACTTTAAAAAAACAACACTCTAATGTTGGAGAATATGCTTGGAATGTATGTACTAGCAATATAGAAGTATTACATATTTGACGTATGTATATAATTATATGTATATATTGTATGTAGTACTATATACACGAATTTATATCTTCAAATTATTATGACCAAATAAAAGTAAAAAATGTATATCAAATTTAATCCATGTTGTTTACTTTTTACCATACTCTTGAATATTATTCCCATGATGGGCAAAATTGTATTTACTAAAGATCAAGTATTCAGTAGAAAAGCTGTTTGGTTATTTATGTTGTAGTAAATAATCAACTACTCAAGTAATTTGGATGTGACAATAAATAATATTTCGCAGTCCCATAGAATTTCGATGCTCGGTACGGTTCAGGGGAGGCTCGCTTATCAGAAGCCGAATGTAGGGGCCAAGAGAGCTTTTTCTTGAACCTAGGATCTACTAAGGTGAAAACTTTTAAAATAATATTTTACTGTTGTGCTAAGTTCAAGTTTTTTAAGCGATATTACGGTGACCAAACTACCTGATTTGTCGGAAGTTATCCTGGTTTAAGGCTCGAATTGAAGTGTATTGACTGATTTTGCATTTCCCGCCTAATGTCCTGATGTTTACAAAGTTGACCATTTATAAATTTCTTACTTTAAATATCATTGGAGCTTGTTTGTACATCGCTCATATAATAACATATATATAGATAAGTAGCCGTCCTACCCTTACTTCGTAGCTCTGCAGTAAAATTGAAACGAAGGTATCTACTTATTGAATGAATGGTTTATGTTATGAAATTTATTAACCGACTTCCAAAAAAGGAGCAGGTTATCAGTTCGTCGGAATATTTTTTTACTATTTTATTTTTTTTTTATGTATGTTACCGCATAACTTTGGACCACGTCAACCGATTTCGATAATTCTTTTTGCATCGTAAAGGTAGTGTCTCAGAGGTGGTCCCATCCCAATCCCAATCTGGTTAAGAGCCGATCAGTGGATCATGAGATATATATATATATATATATATTTTATATGAGAGTTGAAGTCGGTTTTTTTTGCTAAAAATTACTTGTTTTCTAACAAACGCTTGAAAAATATGAAATTTCGACCTTTGTAATAACCATGAACCACAAATATGAGAATTCCTGTCTTGGAAGGCGGGGTGGCGAGTGTCCTAGTTTTTCCTTCGATTCATCTGGTCACTCTAGCCGATATCATATAAAATAGTATTAAAATAATTTTTTTCTAAACTTGAAATATATGTATATAACGGCGAACGTTTAATATAAAGAATCGGTATTGGGTACCGAAATTGTAAATGTTCTCGTTTCGAAAAATGCCGAAATCACAAAGCTTTTCAGTATAGAGTTAATCTCTACAAAAACAAAAAAAATGATGGACTAATCTTTCTTTTCCTGAGCCGTGCGGTTTAAAGTGGCAATGCAAGCGCGTTTTGCTTTTTGCTTTGGAGTTGCGAAAGCGAATATTCACTTTCCCAGTGGAAACACCCAAGAAGTTTTTTTGGCAAATTTGCAGAAATCGCTTTTTGAAATACAAATTGTAAGGCGTGTTTGTAGTAGAAAAAATGTACCAGAGTTGATATACCGATTTTTTTGTTATTTTTTTATGAAAAAATTAAAAAAGTTTAAACTTTAACAGGGTAAAACTAAAAAATAGGGTTTTTTTTATTTGGTTCCTTGTTCCTTTACAAAAAAATTAAGCTACCAATGAAGAAAATCGATGGATAAATAAGAAACGATTGAGTGGTGAAATGAAAATGCGCAACGATTTTTTTGTGTGAAATATGACCAGATGTACATGGCGTATGAGTAACTCATTGGTAGCTTAATTTTTGTTGTAACAAAACAGGCTTTAACACAAATGCAAAAAATTTACACAGAATCTGTTATTTTTTTAATTTCTTCCCTATAAAGTTTGATTTTTTTTTTTCAACAAAAATCCAGAAAGACTGGAATGATTCATTATTTTCTCAGAAACTATCAGGCCTATTAGTTTATGGAGAAGTTCGTTAGCTTTCATCTGCCGTATTTCGTATTACATACCTAATAAAGGGGAACTACCTTGTTTTAAGCAGAATAACGGTAAATTGAAAGAAGTTAAAAAGTCGTAAGTTCAGGCGGAGCCGAATATTTCACCTTTCCGCTTTCAACTACCGCTACATGGTAAGCGGGGGTGATTTTACCCCTATTTCAAACATCTTCGATAAAACGTTCAGTTAGATATAATGCGATAAGCTTATATAGTTATATGTAGGCCGTATCACGCCAATTTTCCACAATTACTTAATAATGTTACTTCTTTTCAATGGATTGTTGTTATGTATCAAGTTCGAGTAAATTAGCGTCCTTAAATTTCGAAATATCGAAGTTTCAAGCATTTCCGAAACGTACCGTTATATGAAAATTGGGCATAATTTTAGTCAGATTTCGATAAGTTTCAACGTTTTGCGGACGTACGAGCGGATGGACAGATAGGCTTAATCGATTTCTTTTTTCATTCTGATCATTTAGGTATACATTCGTCTATATCTATCTCGATTCGTTTAAATATCGAATTCGATAACATATCCTTCCCAAAGAAACGTTTTACAATCCTTTCCTCGAGAGTTACATTTAAATTGTACAATAAATTAAAAAAAATATATCGACTTTTTAACTTTTCACCACTGATACATACATGTTCTATGCATGGATTTTTTAGAAGGCTTTCCCCGCTCTCGCTGTAGGATTCAAGCCAGTTTTGTCTCAGAAAAGGAAGCGCTGGAAATTAAAAAAAAAAAAATTCCGTCTTCCTTGCATAAAAACATAAATTACAAAGAGTGTAATTTTAAAATATGGTGCCATTATTTTAACCACAGCTGTATGTATAATATCATTGAGCATCAAACAAATGCATACGTGCTGAAAGCATTTCACATGCCCATTGTAATATTATCGCGCCTTTATCGTCGCAATCGCCACGTTGCTCGCAGAAATTACTGGCATTCAGGCATCCAGAAACTTTATGGAAGCGTAAGCATACGCGCCTGAACTACAGTTTCGTCTGCCGCACACCACCTTTGTGCGCTTATTTTGTTGAGAAACAGAAAACGACAACAGAACCCAAAGACCAGATCATTCCAATACAAACGCGTTAAGTTACTCGCTCCGAAAATTGCAACAGCGAATAAAAAAGTGGTGGACAATTAAGGGTGAAAATGAAATACACATACGGTTAAATGTGCACTCCGGTTGCGGTACACTTTGGAAAAGACTAAAAAAGAAAAAATGTAATGTACTAAATACAAAATATCTGCTAATGGCATCACAGATTTTCGAAGAACTAAAACATCGACTGCTACCTTAATGTCAGTGGCCACTACTTGAAAAACACTGCAGTGACCTTGAATCCCAATTCAAGTTTGATAGAGAGTTTCCTACAAAAGAGCGAAACTTCCTTCAAGTTTGGATCCATCTCATCCCTTAAGGATGTGAGTGGAAAACGAGCAAACGTGTGTTTTTAAGGGTAAAATCGAGTTCTTCTAGAATATTACAGTTACCGCACTCTCAATTAAGTACCCGGTGTTCCTAAGCCTGATTGCAGCTTTTGCTAAGAGAAGGCGATACCCAGAATGAGAGTGGTCCTATGTATGTGTCGAACTGCTAATTCCGATAAGTACGGTTCGTTGTACCCCCCAAATCTCTGACTGCCGTAGTCTTTACCACTCACCAAGAGTGCAACATCCTCGGCAACCCAACGCCTCTTACAGAAATTAATATGGAGAATGCTCAGCCTTTCTGCATACCTACGTGCGAATGATCGGAAAAGCCTTAGCTAATACATTTTGTAAGTTCTCGTACTTGTTGGTTTGGTATACTATCTCTGAGGACCTTCATAAGCGTATCAATTAATTTTTCTTCCCTTTTTCAGATTTGTAGGGTACACACAGTAAGTGAACTGCCGCTACCGAAGCAGTAACAAATTACAAATTTAATTGGAAGAATGGGATAGCGAAAAGAGTGCTCCAGAAGTCTATCGCTTCAATGCTCGCTCGTCAACAGCATAGTGTGTTTATTATTTTAGCCGCTTGAATGAAGAATTGTCTGTGTGTAACTTTCGAGAGCACCGCAGCTAGTATATAAGCAGCAAGGGACGTCCTCAGAGCTCAGTAAAAATTATGCATTTGAGCAGAATACTACTAAGCAAATAAAAAAGCGGGCAGTAAAACCAAAAATTAAGTGCAATTTTCAAAAAGTTCTTACCAAGAACTGAACCAATTCAAGCAAAGGAAGGAAGGAGAAGATTAGGAGGCAATGAACAAAGCAACAGATCAATAAACCAGCAAGATGCCTAACCAATTCCCAATTAAACCACCAGCACAGATACCCTGCGCACACTGGAACCACTTTCCCATGCATCCACGCGTGATGATTGCATTCAGCAGCATAATCAAAGGCTCAGACAGCCCATTACCGCCGCCACCATCACCGGGGTCTTACTCCTATTGCAGTGCCTGCAATGCCATGCAAAAACTGTGTATAAAACCTCAGCGCAGCGCACACGCGCAGACATAAAAGTATGTAAATAAATAGCTATTTCGCAAAAACAGTTCTTGCCTTGTAATTGGGAAAAGTTGATTGCGGAAGACAATAAATAACAGAAATAAGGAGCACATACGGCCATCAAGAAGCAGCAGAAAGGCGCAAAGAATTTAACGAGTCAATTACTTCTCCTCAAAAGCGGCTACATCGAATTTAACAAACAATTCCAAATTTATCTACATACTTAGATGTAATTTAAAAATATAAATTTTTACAACTACCTCAACGTGTATATCGGGCGCGTAACAATTAAGTTTAGAGGGCAACAGCTAAAATGCTTAGGAGTGCGTATTGTTGTGTAGCAAGTAGTACACGAGCATTAAAGTACTTAAATCGATATAAACAGAGTAAATATAAGTATAATTTTTATATACCGTTATAATGACGTGACTAGATATTTACGTGTACACATGTACATACATACATATACATATTTAACTACGACTATAGGGGATTTCCATATATAGGCAGTGGGAAAAGTCACGAAAATCTTAAAAGTCTCGAAATTTCAATTGCACTGTAAAAATATATGTGCATATAGAAAATAATTTCGAGTTTGAAAGAGTCCCGTTTTTAGAGTTTGAGAGAGTCCAGTTTTTAGAGTTTAAGAGAATTTCCTAAATACTTAGAAAATAAGACTTATTGCATTTATCAAACCAAAATCGATAAATTTACATATTTAATGGTATCTACTTATTACATATATACACACTTGCAT